GGGGGCTTGCGGTGACCCCTCCCCGCGGCGTGGGGGTGAGCGCAGTTTCCGCGGGGGAGCAGGAGGGTGCCGGGGCGGGAGGAGCCCGTTCCCCAGTCGTAACCAAAATAAAGAGGCGCGGAGCGGCGCGGAGGGGCGCGGAGCGGGGGTGCGTGTGTTGAGCGGGCAGGAGAGGCGAGGGGGAGGCAGGCAGGCACTTAAAGCATCCGCATGGCAAAATTAAAATTAATAAAATGGATTTCCTCTGGAATATTCATGCTCCCTCTGATGTTTTTCCCTTGCAGGGGTATGTTGCTGGATTTTAAGAGTCCATTACTCAAAAAGCATAAGGCGAGGTTAGGTCTCAGAGGGGTACAAATATGGTCTCAATCTGATAAACGCCATGCAGCAGTGAATAAAATAATGGATACATGAGGGCTGACAGAACAAAAAGAGACATCTCTATCCGGGAGAAATTCTCCAGTGATTTAGTGGTTTTAGGGATCACCGAGACACTGTTTCTTATCTACCCCCCCCCCCCTTATGAGACTAAAGCCTTCTATAGGATTTAGACACTTTCTCTTTCAACAGATGCTACAATGTTTTGATCCCAGCTCTATAGCTGAGAGGTGCCGCAATTGGTTTGCTATCTTTTTTTGCTTGTTTTCCGCCTCACTGATTAAGACACTAAGAAACTAAGGAATGATTTTATTTCCCAGCGTCTTTTTTTTTCTTTTTTTTTTTTTTTTTTCCAGGAAACAAATCCTATACCCAGCGTCAGATGGTCTGGCTATAGGATAATAGGGACGGACATTCACTCGCTTTCTTACGGATTAGGTCTGGAAGGTGGAACAGCCCTATTGAGATCGCTCCTTTTAGTGTTTTTTTTTTAAAAAAAAACAACAACCCCAAAAAGCGGGGGGGGACCTTCTAAAAAGAAGATCTCTCAACTGTCCGGCGCGGGGCTTTTAAATGATGATAAGCGAGTTTAGGTGAAACTTTTAGCTGGCTCAAAGCTTTGGGGGCAGATGGGGAGCGCCCGGAGACGAGGTTGCCAAAAAACCAAAAAAAAAAAAAAAAAAAGTGACTTGAAAAGTTTGAAAATAAGCGGGGGGGTGGTGCTGGCGCTGGGGGGGGCGGCCGCGGCCCCGCGGGTCTCCCCCCCGCTCCCCGGCGGAGCCCG